AAATGAAGTTTGGTGGGGGGTCTGCACAGAGTATATTGAACACATGTTATCACATAATTAAACGTGTGACCTAAATTGAAGGAGAACAGACGCAATCGATCGGGTTAATATTGATTATATGGCGAATTTCACAATATTTTATTAGGTGGCCAATTCAGGTGGGGAGGCTAATGGCAGTTAAGGAGGGGGAGGAGGGTAGTGTCAAGGGAAATAATGTTCTACATCGAATTTCATTATAGGTCACCGAACAAAAGAAATCGGTAGCTATATTACATTCATACGAAATATCGACTGAATCATTGGTGTTTGGGCTTTGGGGTCAATTTCCGACATTTCCAATAGGAGACCAATTTTGGGCCTTTAACGTTATTTTATGGGGATGGAGCCAATGGAAAATATATTTTACATTAAATTTTGCTATAGGTCTCAGAACAAAAGAAATCGGTAGCTATCATATAGATGTCGAAAATATTGGGTACATTTTGGGTTTTTGGCCCAAATTCTGACCAATTTTCATTAAATGACCAATTTTAATCCTCAAATACCATTAAAGAGGGGTGGTGTCAAGGGAAACTATATTCTACATCAAATTTCACTAAAAGTCTCCAAACATTGGAAATCTCTACCTATAATATAAACCTACGAAATATACGTTCAAACTTTGGTACTAAGGGTTTTGTGTCAAATTCTGACCAATTTCAACCCCCCAAATACCACTTTAGGGTGGAGGTGTCAAGGGAAACTATATTCTGTATAAAATTTCACTATAAGACTAGGAGCAAAAGATCTTGGTAGCTAGAATATAATTCTACGAAATATAAGCTGAAACTTTGGTTTTTTGGGTCAATTTCTGACTTTTCCATTAGGAGATCAATTTTGGGCTCTTATCGATATTTTAGGGACTTGAATCCAATGGAACATATATTCTAAATCAAATTCCACTATATGTCTCGGAACAAATGATATCGGTAGCTATAATATTTGTATAAGAAATATCGATTACATTTTGGGTATTTGGGTTTTTGGCCCAAATTCTGACCAATTTTCATTAAATGACCAATATTAACCCTCAAATGCCATTTTTGGGGGAGGTCTCAAGGGAAACTATATTCTACATCAAATTTCACTAAAAGTCTCCAAACATCGGTAATCTCTAGCTATAATATAAACCTACGATATGTAGGTTCAAACTTTGGTACCAAGGGTTTTTGGGTCAAATTCTGACAAATTTTCATTAAATGACCAATTTTACCACCCAAATACCATTTCAGCGGGTAGATGACAAGGTAAACTATATTCTATATAAAATTTCACTATAAGACTCGGAACAAAAGAAATTGCTACCTATAATATAAACTTACGAAATATAGGCTGAAACTTTGGTTTTTGGGTCAATTTCTGACTTTTCCATTTGGAGACCAATTTTGGGCTCTTAACGATATTTTAGGGTCTTGGATCCAATGGAACATATATTCTACATCGATATTCACTGTAAGTTTCGGGACAAAAGAAATCGGTAGCTATAATATTTGTGTAAGAAGATTCGATTACATTTTGGGTATTTTGGGTTTTTGGCCCAAATTCTGACCAATTTTCATTAAATGACCAATTTTAACCCCCAAATGCCATTATAGGGGGGAGGTGTAAAGGAGAACAATATTCTACACCAAATTTTACTATAGGTGTCCGAACTAAAGAAATCGGTAACTTATATATAAACCAACAAAATATTGGCGAAAACTTTCGTGTTTTGGTTTTTGGGTCAATTTGGTATATTATCGATTGGGAGATCAATTGTTATTCTTTAACGGTATTTTAGGAACTTGGATCCAATGGTACATATATTCTACATCAAATTTCACTATATGTCTCGGAACAAAAGAAATCGGTAGCTATACTATTTGTGTAGGAAAATTCGATTACAATTTGGGTATTTTGAGGTTTTGGCCCAAATTCTGACCAATTTTCATTAAATGACCAATTTTACCCCCTAAATACCATTTTAGGGGGGAGGTGTCAAGGGAAACTATATTCTACATCAAATTTCACTATAAATCTCCAAACATCGGTAATCTCTACCTATAATATAAACCTACGATATGTAGGGTCAAACTTTGGTACCAAGGGTTTTTGGTTCAAATTCTGACCAATTTTAATAAAATGACCAATTTTACCACCAAAATACCACTTTAGGGTGGAGGTGTCAAGGGAAACTATATTCTGTATAAATTTTCACTATAAGACTCGGAACAAAAGAAATCGCTACCTGTAATATAAACCTACGAAATATAGGTTCTGACTTTGGTTTTTGGGGTCAATTTCTGACTTTACCATTAGGAGGCCAATTTTGGGCTCTTTACGTTATCTTAAGGTCTTGGATCCAATGGAACATATATTCTACATCAAATTTTACTATAAGTCTCCGAACAAATGAAATCGGTAGCTATAATATTTGTGTAAGAAAATTCGATTACATTTTGGGTATTTTGAGGTTTTTGGCCCAAATTCTGACCAATTTTCATTAAATGACCACTTTTAGCCCCCAAATACCATTTTAGAGGGTAGATGCCAAGAAAAACTATATTCTATATTAAAATTCACTATAAGTCTCCGAACAAAAGATCATGGTATCTATAATATTTGTATAAGAAATGTCGATTACATTTTGGATATTTGGGGTTTTGGCCCAAATTCTGACCAATTTTCATTAAATGACAAATTTTAACCCCCAAGTGCCGTTGTAGGGGGGAGGTGTCAAGGGAAACTAAGTTCTGCATCAAATTTCACTGTAAGTCTCGAAACCAAAGAAATCTGTAGCTATAGTATTTTTATAAGAAATATCGCATACAACTTGGGTATTTTGGATTTTTGGACGAAATTGGTAACCTTTCCATAAAAAAATCCAATTTCACCCTCTGCATGAAATTTTATGGGGGTAGCCGTAAGGAAAAAAATATTCTTCATAAAATTCCACTATAAGTCTCTTAACATCGGAAATCGCTAGCTATAATACATATCTGGGAAATATCGCTTACAATTTGGGTATTTTGGTCTTTTGGACCAAATTGGTATATTTCCCTTAAAAACCCGATTTCACCCCCTGTATGACATTTTCCGGGGTTGATCGCAAGGAAAAAATATTTCTCATAAAATTCTACTATAAGTCTCCGCAAATCGGAAATCTGTAACTATAGAATATATCTAGAAAATGTCGCTTAAAATTTGGGTATTTTGGGGTTTTGGGCCAAATTGCACCTTTTATGGAAAAGTTATCAACCTTTTCCATAAAAGGTGGAATTTCACCCCTTGCATGACATTTCCCGAGGGTGTTCGCAAGGAAAAAAATATTCCTCATAAAATGCTACTATAAATCTGCGAACATCGGAAATCGCTAGCTATAATACATTTCAAAGAAATATCGGTTAAAATGTGGGTTTTTTGTTTTTTGGGCCAAATTGTTAACTTTTCCATAAAAGGCCAATTTGTCGCCCCTGTTTGCAATTTCCCGAGGGTGTTCGCAAGGAAAAAAATATTCCTCATAAAATTCTACTTAAAGTATGCGAACATCGGAAATCGCTAGCTATAATACATATTTGGGAAATATCGCTTGCAATTTGTGTATTTTGGGCTTTTGGGCCAAATTTGCATATTTCCCTTAAGAAACCCGATTTCACACCCTGCATGACATTTTCCGGGGGTGGTCGCAAGGAAAAACATATTTCTCATAAAATTCTACTATAAGTCTCCGCACATCGGAAATCTGTAACTATAATATATATCTCTAGAAAATATCGCTTAAAATTTGGGTATTTTGGGGTTTTGAGCTAAATTGGTATATTTCCCTTAAGAGAACCGATTTCACCCCCTAAATGAAAATTTCCGAGGTTAGTTGCAAGGAAAAAAATATTCCTCATAAAATTGTACTATAAGTCTGAGAACATCGGAAATCACTAACTATAATACATATCTAAGATATATCGTTTACAATTTACGTATGTTGCGGTTTTGGGCCAATTTAGTACCCTTTCCATAAAAAAGCCAATTTCACCCCCTGCATAAATTTTTTTTGGGGGTAGTGACAAGGGAAAAACTATTCCTCATAAAATTCCACTATAAGTCTGTGAACATCGGAAATCGCTAACTATAATATATACCCAGAGAATATCTGTTACAATATGGATATTCAAATTCTTTTGTCCACTTTTTCCATAAAACGCCCCCCTGCATGACATTTCCCGTGGGTGTTCGCAAGGAAAAAAATATTCCTCATAAAATTCTACTATAAGTCTCCGCACATCGGAAATCTGTAACTATAATATATATCTAGGAAATATCGCTTAAAATTTGGGTATTTTGGGGTTTTGGGCCAAATTGGTATATTTCCCCTAAGAGAACCGATTTCACCCCCTAAATGAAAATTTCCGAGGTTGGTTGCAAGGAAAAAAATATTCCTCATAAAATTCTACTATAAGTTGTCAAACATAGAAAATCGGTAGCATTAATATATATCTAGGAAATATGGGTCAAATGTGGATAATTTGTATTTTGGGCCAAACTGGTAGCATTTCCATAAAAACCCAATTTTACCCCTTGCCTGCCACTTTTTCGTAGGTGGTGTCAAGGAAAAAACTATTCCTCATAAAATTTTATGATATGTTTCCGAACATCGGAAATCGCTAACTATAATATATACCCAGGAAATATCTGTTACAATATGGATATTAAAATTTTTGGGTTTTTTGGTCCATTTTGGTAACTTTTCCATAAATGGCCAATTTTACCACCCTGCATTAAAGTTTTTCTGGGGTGTTTATAAAGAAAAAAATATTCCTCATAAAATTCCACTATAAGTCTCCAAGCATCGGAAATCTCTTACTATAATATATACCCTTGAAATATCCATTACAATTTGGATATTCAAATTTTTGGGCCTTTAGAAGGCCATTTAAGGATTTTTGGTCGTTTTTTGGTATGTTTTTTGTTCATTTTTTTCAACTCACCTGGAGTATAGATGGGATTTACTGTGGTCACTGTCAAACCCGCCTCAATGGCACCCAATACAACACCGGGATATTCGGGTAAATTTGGCATACAAACGGCAACAACATCTCCCTGCTGCAGCTTAAATTTCATCTGTAGACGAACGGCCAAGGCGGCACTGTTATCACGCAGTTCAGCATAGGTATATTGGCGGCCGGTAATGACATCGACCTTGAAAGGGAAGAAAATAAGAAGAAAAACATTATTTAGAAATAAGATTTTTATAACAAAATTTTTTTTAAATAAAATTTTTACAAAAAAAAATTTTTTACATTTTTATAAAAAAAATATTAATAAAATTTTTATAAATTTTTTTTAAATAAAATTTTTATAAATTTTTTTAAATAAAATTTTTATAATTTTTTTTTTAAATAAAATTTTTATAATTTTTTTTTTTTAAATAAAATTTTTATAAATAAAATTTTTTTCAAAAAAATATGTTTCATAAAAAAAAAATAAAAATCCAATTAATTCTGTAAATATCCAATATTTTCAGTTAAATTTTTGAGATCCCTAGGTCCATATTTTTTAATGGGTGGAATCGATATTTTAAATGCGCAATTTCAAAACCGCACACATTTTTCTAAATTATTCTAGTGACCTATATTTTTGTGCTTTGCAAAAAAAGTTCTGTTTACTAATTCTATACACGCCAAAGAGAGAAAGGGAGAGAGGGGGAGAGAGTGTCGGCTTGGGGGGAAATTTATCATCACACAAATAAATATATATAACAAATTTAGCATCATATTTTCTCATCTTGTTTAATTTTCAAATCTAAATTTATTTAAAAGAATAATTTTCATGTTTTTTTTCATTCGAATTTTTTTTTTTTGTTATTTTTGGTTCAGAGGGGAACTTTGAGACCTCTCATTTACCGCTGTGTGTCTGTTTTTTTGTTTGTTTGTTTGATACAATCAGTCAGTTGTACGTGCGACGAACGTATAGACAAAGTCCAAAGTTCGTCATGGCAATGTTCAAAGTCTAAACCAAAAAAATATAAAATTAATTCCCTCTCCTTGGTGGTTTGTTTGCACTGCTGCTCTCAGCTGTTTTTTAGGCTCTCAGTCAAAATTAAAACAACAACAAAAACAATAAAAATTAAAAAACGACGGGCCCCACTACTGTAAACAATGTTTGGAACCTGTTGCAAAACAACAACAACAACCTGGCAATTATACGGTTGGTTTGTTGTTTGGCTGCTTGGTCGAGCCCACTGTACAGTTCAATGAGTTAGGAGGGAAGAGAGAGCAAGAAAAAGAGCGAGTGTGTGTGTTTGTGTTTGGGGTATAGATAAAACAAAAACAAAACTATTTTGTGTTAGACAATACAATGCATAATTTTACAACAGGATCGGGCAGAGAATAACCAATTTGTGTTGCGTTGTCGATGTGTGTGTGTGTGTGTGTCAATGGGGTTTCACAGTTGTTTCAATTGAATGTGCATTAGAGGAGTATGCTTTTATTTACTTTGGCAAGAGAGCACGCGTGCGGAGTTTTGCCTGATGTGGTTTTACAATGCATGATGATTTCTGTTTTATTCCCTTACCGGTAACCGTGAGATATTAGAAAACAGAAAATAAAACATACAACAACAATTGTTAAGCGTGTAACAAACACAAATATATTGTTTGATAATCGACCTGTGTCTATGATACAGTGGTCAGCGTAAGTCTATGGCACGCTTATGCAGATTTGTTTTTTTTTTAATTTAAATTATTCAGAGTTTTAATTGGTGTACGATTTTTTGTTTTTTTTTTTGTATTTTTTTTCTTGTAGCAAACTTGACATTGACAGTTTAATGATGACGTGCGCATAACGGAAATCATAATGAAATGTGATCATTAAATTGAAATTGACGTAGGAAACTTAAAGAAGAAGAAACGCAAAGAAAAAAAATAAAAATTAATTGCCAAAGTCATCCATTCAGTGTTCAAAGTTCACAAGTTGCGGAACTATGACAAATAAAAAAAAAAAAAATACAAAAAATGATAATTAGGTTTTTTCAAAAAAAAAAAAAAAAAAAAAAACCTTAAAATAAATACATAATAATTAAAATAAAAAAAAAAACACACACACAAAAGCTTTTGGTTGCTTCGAAGGCAAGAGTAAAAAATTAAAAAATATTTTAATAAAAAAATATAAATTTGATCCCCAAATTATGGCTACAGAATGCCTGAGGCTTTACAAATTCAAAAATTGTCCAGGAAAAAATGTCCCCAAATTTTTGTTATGGAATGTCAGAACACCTTAAAACTTGAAAAAAATCACAGAACTGTAAAAAAATCCTAAAAAACAACCACAGAATTTTTATTGGGATTAAAAAAATTGCCCGGAGTTGTGAAAATGTCCCCTAATTTTGCTTCTAAAATCACTAAAAACCACAACATTAAAATAAAATCCACAATTTTGCAAAAATTCAATTTTCGGAGGTTTTTGAAAATCCCCGGGATTTTTTGGGATTTTTAAAACATTGCGCGGAATTGTGAAAATGGCCCCGGATCTGGTTATAGAGTGCCAAAAATCATAAAATTTAAAAAAAAATCCACAAATTTGCAAAAAATCAATTCCTGGACATTTTTAAAAATCCCCGGAATTTTCTGGGATTAAAAAAAAATTCCCGGCTTTATGAAAATGTCCCCAAATTCTGTTTCTAGAATGTCAAAAATAATAAAATTTTAAAAGAAAATCCAGAAATTTACCAAAAACCAACTCCTGAAGATTTTTGGAAAAAACCGGGATTTTTGAAAAATCCTCGGGTTTATAAAAATGTCCCCAAATTCTGTTTCTAGAATGCCAAAAATAATAAAATTTTAAAAGAAAATCCAAAAATTTGCAAAAAATCAATTCCTGGAGATTTTTGAAAATCCCCAGGATTTTTTTGGGATTTTTGGAAAATCGCTTGGGATTGTGAAAACATCCCCGGATTCTAGTTATAGAATGCCAAAAATCATTAAATTATACAAAACTCCACAAAATTTGAAAAAAAACAATTCCTGGAGATTTTTGAAAATCCCCGGAACGTTTCTGGGATTGTTTAAAACTCGCTGGGGATGGTGAAAATATCCCCCATATTATGATTATATGGTTTCAAAAGCCTTATAAAATAATTTAATTTAAAAAAATGAAAAAAATATTATTCTCTGAAAATTTTAAAAAATCCCAGATTTTTTTTTGAGATTTTCAAATGTGGATTGTGAGAAAATTTACCCAAATTCTTTAAAAAAAAAAATGCCAAAAAAAATCAATTCCTAGAGACTTTTGAAAATCCCTGGAATGTTTCTGGGATTTTTAAAAATCGCTTAAAATTGTGATTATAGGATTTCAAAAGCCTAACAAAATAATTAAATTTATAAAAATTGTAAAAAAAAATCCTCGGAATTGTGAAAATGCCCCCAAATTCTATTTCTAAAATGCCAAAAAATCATAAAATTGTAAAAAAAAACACAAATTTTCAAAAAAAAAAAAAAAAATCAATTCCTGGATTTTTTTGAAAATCCCCAGATTTTGTTACGGATTTAAAAAAAACGCTCGGTTATGAAAATGTCCCCAGTTTTTGATTACAGGGTTTCAAAAGCCTTATAAAATAATTAAATTCATAAAAATTGCAAAAAAAAATAATTCCTGGAGATTTTTGAAAATTCCCGCAATTTTTCTGTGGATTTTCAAAAATCGCTATGGATTATGAAAATGTCCCAGATTCTGTTTCTAGAATGCCAAATATCCAAAAAGTTGTATAAAATCCAAAAATTTTGCAAAAAATCAATTCCTAGAGATTTTTGAAAATTCCCAGAATTTTTCTGGGATTTTTGAAAATCGCTTGGGATTGTGAAAATGTCCCCAAATTGTGATTATAGGGTTTCAAAAGCCTGGGATTTTTGGGATTTTTTGAAAATCGCTCGGGATTGTTTGATTTCTAAACCCTCAAAAAAATAATTAAATTTCAAAAAAATGTAAAAAATATTTAAAATCCACAAAATTTGGAAAAAATTAAATCCCGGAGTTTTTAAAAAAAAAATCCCCGAAATTTTTCTAGGATTTTTAAAATTCGAACGGGAGTGTAAAAATATGACCAGTTTTTGGTTATAGAATGTAAAACAATCCCTAAAATTCACAATAATTCTAAAAAAAATCCGGAATATTTAAAAATGAATGAATTCCCCGAAATTTTCCGTGATTTTTAAAAAAATCTAGCGGAATTGTGAAAATGTCACCAGATTCTAGTATTAGACACAATTCTATAGAAACTATAAAATTTTCAAAAAAAAAAAAAAAAAAAATTCCTGTAGATTGTGAAAATGTCCCCAGATTATGTTTATTGAATGCCAATTATTTAAAAAATGTTATAAAATTACAAAAAATCAATTCCTGGATATTTTAAAAATTTCCCCAATTTTTCTGGGATTTTCATATATTGTTCGGGATTGTTAAAATATCCCCAGATTATGGTTGTAGAATGTAAATAACTCTAAAAATTATATAAAATTGCCAAAAATTAAATCCTGGAAATTTTAAAAAAAATTTTGGGAGATTCAAAAAAATACCAAATTTTTCTGGGATTTTAAAATTTTTAAATTCCCCGAAAATTTTCTGGGATTTTCAAATATCGCCCGGGATTGTGAAAAAGTCCCCAGATTGGGTTTACTCTGTTTATCGAATGTCAATTACTTAAAAAATGATATAAAATTTAAAAAAAAAAACAATTCATGGAGATTTAAAAAATTCCCCGAACATTTTCTGGGATTTTCAAATATTGCCCGGGATTGTGATAATGTCCCCAGATTTTGGTTATGGAATACCAAATACTTAAAAAATGATATAAAATTACAAAAAATCATTTCCTGGAGATTTAAAAAATTCCCCGAAAATTTTCTGGGATTTTCAAATATTGCCCGGGATTGTGGAAATGTCCCCAGGTTCTGTCTATAGAATGAGAATTGCTTTAAAAATTACATAAAAATGTAAAAAATCAATTCCTGGAGATTTAAAAAATCCCCCAAAAATTTTCTGGGATTTTCAAATACCGCCCGGGATTGTGAAAATGTCCCCAGATTCTGTTTATCGAATGCCAAGTACTCAAAAAATTATATAAAATTGTAAAAAATCAATTCCAGGAGATTTAAAAAATTCCCCAAAAAATTTCTGGGATTTTTAAATATTGCCCGGGATTGTAAA